TATATATATATATAATATGAATATAGCTAGTTTTCAATGTAAAACCAACAACTGTACCAATGAAACTGTTTCAAATGGAGTTAGAAGTGCCAAAGTTCGCTATTAAAAGTAAACATATGAAAACTACAAAATTGGAGTGAGCGATTTTTGCTTTCAGTCTTCTGTAAAAAAATCAGCTCTTTAGAAAAGGTCGTATATAAATTTAAAAAAAGAACAAGCTAATTTCGCTTACTTTATAGTGTCTGAAATTTATGCAATTGCTAAAAATATGTAATAAATATTTTCTCTGAACTCGCAACAACGTTTTTCATTAAAGTTTCTCTTTGTATGTAACAACTTACGGTAAATAAATGTACTAGTTAGGGGTGATAGTTTTCTAATCTGTTTATTCTGAACTGGCTTTACGGTTATTCGCTTTACGGTTTCTCTTCTTAGCTGCCTTCTTTCGTCGCCCAAAGTACATTTTTTTCACTTTTCTCAATTTTCCGTCTCCCTAATGGCAGAACTGAAACAATTATGTCTTGACTAAGAGAGAAGTGTACAGCCCTTTATGACCCAGATGGCCGAGGTCGCTAAGGTGTGTACGGATTCAGCGGTTGGGGGCAAGAGGAATGGCGTTCGGATCCCTAACAGGGATTTTAATTTGAAGAATGTGTTATTGCAGAAAACTATTGTGGATTGGAGAAACTGTATTGAAAGCCATTTGTAGTACTTCCACTCACAAATACAATCAATACAGATAAATAAACGGGGCATGTTTGTATGTGCTTTTTCAACTTGTAACTTAACTTAAACACTTTTAAACTCAATTATCTGATTTCTAAAACGTATGTCACGTCATAACAATTGTCTTTCTGCGCATTAGTATGAACTGATTTCAGAAAATTAATCAACATGAAAAATAAATACAATATATCGCCCATGTTACCCATCTTTCACTTATTTTAGAGCACACTATGCTTAAAGTGTATTATATATCGTGTTACTTCTGTTGAACACTCCAGTAGATCTGAACGCACCAATATATTGTTGTAAGCCACATGTAAGCCAACCAGTTCCGCGTAATACTTCGAAGACCTAATGAGTGAACGAGTTAGCACTGAACAAAGACGTGATAATTATCAAGTATGCTCATCTCTGCAAAAAGTGTGACAATAATATTGTAAAGAAACCTTCTAAGAATACATGCTTATTAGTTTCAAATCGGAGAAATGCGGAGCAAATTTTGTAACTCAACATTTATTTTCAATTTTCGAATACGCTCACATGTTTTAAAGTCGAACTTGTCTTCGAAAATTACGAAACAATTACATACGAAAGATCATACCTTTCGAAGGATTTTCCATGCTTGAATTACGAAATACGCATAAGGAAAACACGACGAATAGGACAACTGCTACCAAACAACAGTCAGACTCGGCGCTGGTTATATGTGGGACGTAACTTGACACCTCCCCTTAAACCAACTTACACACACACACACACACACAAGTTTTGAAAGGGATTGTCGACCTCCAATCCGACGAGGTCGATCCACGTCCTGACGGGGGATGCAGAAAAAGCTCTCAAGTATTCCTTTCTTTCACCAGTAATCTTTATCTTCCCCAATCGTTTATTCTCGTTCTTTAATAACATCTTGTCTCTTTTCTTCTACCCCTTGTATTTCACTTGCCCCCTGTGTGCTGAATCCATATCTTCGCCGTGCATGGCGGCCCGTGTCGGAGGGAATGTGTGCCGTGGCAATTGAGGGACCTTTTTGTTTCCCAACTACTTGCGCTTCTTTCTGCTTTGAACCTAGGGATACGTTATTTACGTATTTTGGGAACATTCCTTGTAAGTTTTGGCAGTGGGATGTCCCCTTGTTCGACTCCATGGTGGGTGGGAATCACGGAGATTAATTTTCTATCCATTTCTATCCATCGTATGGATACTCAACTACCACCCTTGCCCCCTTCCGCAAGGAAAAAGCGATGCCTTGGAAAAGCGATCGAATGAAGAGGCCTGCGAGGGCAAAATCGAGGTACCAAACAATTAAACAATTAAATAGTTCTCTAATTATTCCAGTTTAGTTTCTTTCTCCAGAGTATGCACAGTAGACATAGCTTAATATTCAATTTTATATACGCACGCACACACGCACACACACACACACACACACACCATACCTATACATAAAACATACCTATACATAAAACTTCTGACAATGCTGCAAATTTTTTGAAAAAAATAATTTCATTAGTTCAAGAGGCATCAATTATTGGCATTGCCGAATTCTAGAGGAAGTGAATAATACACTAGGGACTGGATATTATAAGTGGGGATGTTTCCAGGTTAACTTTAACTTCAATTTCATGTGTTGTTTCGTATTTTCTTGTGTAAAAAAGCATCGCTAAATTAAAGTCTATTTGATACATAGGATGCAAATGCTTGTAAAAAATTTTGCTGCATTTCATTTTCACTAGACCCACAACACCCATTGTCACCTTCAGCTGACACCCCCATAAAACAAAAATCATAGTATTGATTGAGATAATAATCTACTCAAAGATTAAGAGGATGGATAAATAAGTAATATTAAGAATGGCAAACCATAATTCCTGTATTATAACAATTGGAATTTGCTGATTTAAGTTCCAAAAAAATGGAAATGAGAGGAATGAAGTTAAATTAAAACTTTCACACAACCTTAAGAGTTAAAGAACGGAAAGAATTCGACCGGAGATGAATGGAAGGTGCATCTCATGCAGACCAGGTTATTGTTAATTTACTGTAAACTTAGTACATTATCAAATGGATTTTTGCCAGAATATTATGTACATTTCCAAGACGTCAAATGGTATACAAGGTCATTTGCATAATTTCTGAACAGCAAAGACATATTTTGATAAGCGGCTGGTGAGTGTTGGGGGAGAGTGTAATTAGTAGTAAAAGTTGGTATTGTTAAGAAATTGTATTGTTGTGGTCTTCTGTATGGTACTTGAAACATCAGTGCTGGCCTTGTCCCATAGATTCTGAATTTGGAACACTACTGTGTTTATTGTGGTGTATTATTGAGTTTGAGATATTGCCGGACGACCGTAACACTGGGGGACAACTCGGGAAACGTGCAGTGCATTGACTCTAGATATCTATTAATAATATTTAACAGGGGCCCAAATAGTAGGGGCAGACAACAAGAAAGACCTAACCAGATAGTTCCCAGTACCTGAATAGACTTCAGTTCAAAACACTTTATTCTCACAAAATCTTTGCTAATGGAAAGCCTTATTAATACAATCGTTGTCATGGTAATTTAAGCTTGTTTTTAAATAAAAATCACACCATGTTATTTGACACCTTTGAACTATTAGACCTTCACACATATGTTTGAATGTGGAGTAACAAGCATCTAGCTGTCAATGTAATCTAAATGTACATGTCACTTATGACAAAAGTGTGTGAATTTCTCTAATGTGGTGTTACTTCATGTGCGCATTTCAAGCTGAATGCCTTGTCTTATAATTGAGGTTAAAGTATCTTTTTTATTTTAAGGTAAGGAATTGTAGGATTAAAAATAGGAAGTTAAATTTTATAATTTTTCTGTATAAACTTATTTTTTGTTATTAATTAATTAGAATACTCAATTATTTTAGGAACAACATGCCTTCAGTGAATACCGTACGGCATTGTCCTTACTCCGTGAGAAGAAAATAGAAGAAGCTAAAAGTTTATTAAAAGGAATTTTAGATGGTGACATTCTTCCGGAGGTATGAAAAATATATACATTCAAGGAAAGTATGGAAAAGCCGACTTATTAATGAGTATGTTTCTTTAAAGGTGGATTTGGAAGAATGTGCTGGGCATCCTTTGTCTGTATTGAAGTACTCTTGCCTAAAGAATATGGGTTCCATTTTGGCTCAACAGGGTGATTATGATAACTCTTTGGCACATTACATGCAAGTAAGTATTGCGTTTACTGACAATTTTCTTATGGGGTCAGAAAAATGTTTTCTGTGAGATTTATTTAGTGTAATGCATTAGTATGAATCATTATATTCATATTATTGGTTACTAGTTTAATATTGGACATGATGTTTTAATGGTATGTACGCTTAATGGAATTTAATTTAGGGGTACACTAGGTACATATCTTCCCAAACTTAAAAATATCTATATTGTAACCACCCAAGCCGCCGTGGTCACCCCCGACTTACCTGATTACCTGAATTTTTCTCGGAACCAGCGTTGCCCCGGCTGCTCCGTCGGTAGACTCCCTAGAGGGAGGCATGCGTGTTTGGGGCTAACTACAACTACCACTACTACATTCAAAACAAGGTTTCATTTGTTTTAAAATGAATTGAATGAGCCTAATTTGCGATTGAGGTGAAGCCTCATACTAAAATTAATCTTACTAACTTATAACTAATCTTAGCTTATACGGTTGTCATGGCCAGAGTTCATCTACGCTCGCTGGGCATGGTCCTTTCGGGCGGTCGTGACCCGGCTTACGGGAGCGGTAGCCCCGCGTCCCAGAGTCCCAGCGACTGGAAGTGGTGCTGTCGCAGACTGCGCCTCCACCCCGGTCCTTTGTCCGTCGGCGCGGCGGTCGGGTGGCCAGCGGCGGTGTCTCGGCCTCGCATGAGCCTCTCTGTTGCGTTAGCGGCGGTCGTCGGCCGGCTGGCCTCTTCACGGCTGGGCGGGGGACGGGCGACAGTGTATCGGTCCGTGCGTTGGCAGCACGACCCGTGGTCGCGTTACTTGTGTCCCGGCCGGTTGTCACTCCGGGCTCGCGGTCAGGCACTTGGGGACACTGTGCCTGCTGGCGTCCCCCCGTGAATTTAAGTACAATCCGAATGTTGGAAGCTGAATCAGGGCCAGAATGCAGAAAGCTAGCTCCGCGGATCAGAATATAATGAACGAGCGTCTTCAGCTTGCCATGAAGGCTTCGCGGATCTCGTGACCCTCCTCCGCGTCATTTTTCGCGATCGGTGTCCGCGCCTTGCCAAATTCCGGAAACCTCCATCGTCGTTCTGATTCCGAGAGAAAGGCGCGGCGGCGTGGGGTGTGGCCTGGCCTGGGTTGCGCCGAAGAAAAGGATTGGATTCCACAGATCCCAGGCGCAACCGAAAAGGCTTCAGGTAGCGACAAACTGCGCGTTTCCCGGCGTCCTTCTCAGTGGCGCTATGCTCAATGTAAACACACGCGTTGCCACCTGACACGTGCGACATTTCTTCTTATGAACATAGATTTTCATCAAAAACATTAATTTATGAATTTACAACATGTTATATTGTTTGAATACCAATTTTTATTTTTGACAGAATTTCCTGCCAATGTAATGTCATTTCAAGGAAAATTAACAGAATTTTTTTCACAAACAACTATTTTCACTCTCAGGTTGTTGGATCACTTTTATTGATAACTACTAAATCAGTTTAATAACTGCTGTCAGTTTTCCTTGATTGTTCATCAGATTTACTTCAGAATTTTTCAAAAATATAAATGGTTTTGCTTACATTGAACTCTAGTAGTGGTGAATGGAGCTATTGTTTAATGGAGTTTATAGTTGCCCTTTATGATAAGGTTCTTGACATTGTGTAACAATGGATACTCCATTTTCAACATTTGAACATAGTTTTTCTCCCCCATTACGTGCACCTGGAATTGGGGAAATGCTGATCCCCCCTATCTGGGGAAGGGGGAGGATCAGCATTTTAGCTGAATCCTGATTTTTATCCCTTGAGGTTGTTAGCCCTGGGGGTATGGATGATGAAATTATGATGATTGTGAGGGATGAAAGGACGGCCCACAAATGAAGACATACACAAATACACCCATGCCAGAGGCGAGACTCCAACCTGCGGTTTTGTGGTCATTTCTCCTTTCTAAGGTTACAAATATGTTGTTTTTGTATGTTGACAGACCTGTTGTTATACTATGGTGTTAAAGGCTATGATGATAAGATCTCGGAACATGTTGGTAAATCAGTAGTGATTTAGATATAAAACCAAGTCATGTCAAACCAATGTCAATCTTTGAATTCTTGTTGTATATAATATTTCTTTCTTTTTGTTTCCTTAGGCTGCCAAATTGGATTCGAATGATGTTATGCTTTGGTACCATCTGGGGTCAGTGGCTCTCAAGCTAAACCACTTGGAGCTAGCCCGAGATGCGTTTTTGGAAGTAAGGAATGTTCTAAAAAATTTTGAATTATTGATTATTTATGATAACAAATGATGAAATTCTCTTTATTGCAGGGTCTGAATTACAGTCCAAAAAATTGGGAGTGTTTAAATAGCCTCATTACAGTACTATATGTGTTGCAAGACTATATGACATGCCTTGTATTTATCTCCCGTGCTTTTGAATTAGATTTCACATTCATCAAAGGTCATACAATCAGAGATGCTATATTAGAAGAATGCCCATCGATTTTATCTGACAGTTATTTGAAAGAAATGTAAGTATTTTTTTAATGAAATTCCTTTCATATGTTACTCTCTAAATTATTGTAAATATTGTGTTATATTATTATAACCATCTCAATTATCACATTTTCTTTAATCCATTATTAATATGAATTTTTAAAGAGTTACTTTGACAAATATTAGAAAAAATTTTTGAAATCATTTTGAGAAGTACCTTAATTGAGATGTCTAAAGTTTCATATGTAGCTGTAGCCTGTGGTACTTTGGAGTGGTCAAATGTCAACTGTCCTCACAAGAAGACCTAAAGTATCTTTGGTGTTTGTTGAGACAAAACTTCACAATTCCCAAGCTTCAATTATAATAAAATATGTTTTGATAAATTTCTCAAGCACAGGTTTAACTTAGTGTTGAGGTGGAGAGGAGGGGTGAGCCAATGAAAAATTTATTCAATCTGATTAACAAGAAGTGAGAAATTATTTTAAAGTTAGTGTGATGCTATTATATTTTTGTTGTTGCTTTTGTATATTTTGCAAGAACTCGTGCTCCCCCCACTACCTAGAGTTCTCAGAAAGCCAGCAGTCATTTGTCAGTTGCTGACATTTTCACCCAGTGGCAGTTTTGGACATAGAAGGGAAGTCTCACCTGGGCAGTGATGAGCTCTTATACCTTGTGCAAACCTCTGGCACTTGAGATGAAATAACTACACTCGTGGGTTGAAACGCTGATCCCAAGAAGCTGCCTTTGCATGGCACTGCCTTCACTTTCTAGGCAGTGCATAATTTGTTGCTTTCAAGAAATTTTGAAGATTATTTTCATGGAGTGGATGAGTGACCTGCTTTCACCCATTTCCATTTTCTTTGCAATTATTAGACAAAATTTTAAAAACACCATTAGTGTTTTAAGTCAATAAATTTTGAAAGAGTTTTACTTGATTGTGAAAATTTAATGATGCTAGAAGTATTGCAGTGAGAACGCAAGTGTCCCCCTGCTCTGCCTGAGTTACACATATGTTTACGAGACTCCACATGGGAACTTTTGAACATTGCTTGGAGCTCGATTAACTTACAAATGGCAATGTAGAAATATAGTGGGAAGTTATTAGTGAAAGTTCATAAATTTAATTCCTCGAGGGAGGTATTGCCTGATCTATGTGAATGCCATTCATGTGGTGGAATTCTTGTTGAAGGAATTGAGGAAAGAAAATTAGGGAACATTAACTATGTTGAAGGGAAGAAAGTTGGGGAACATGTACTATTAATTATTGATTACATTATATAATGGGATGTTTTGAAGAAAAGGAGGAGAAAAAAAAGGAAAGTCTACTTCTTTGGCAGTTGTATCAAGCGATTGATCAAGTTGTAGACATGATGCATCAGCCTGTTCAAGATATTTTATGTTGATCCAATTGATGTGTTAGTTATCAGAATCATGGCAATTTCAAGTTAACTGAATACAGATGCTTTGTGGCTAAATAGTAGCTACCTCTGACCAGTGCCTGGATACTGTTTGTCTCTGAGCAAACTGAATGTTGCATAGTGACTAAGATGATCTGCTATCAAAAGATTGGCATGTTGCTCTGGTGACCAGTTTATTTAGAGCAAAGTTGTGTCATAAGGCTTTCAGAGGATTTTTCAATTTTCACTGTAGTGAACATTATAAGCTGCTTTCAACAAGTTTCCACAGAGTATTCAAATTATTTATTAATTTATTTAGATTAAAGATTTTAAAAGCTCATTGCATAGACTTTCAGAAACTACCTCTTGACCTTGTTTACTAAGGCTATTGATAACTGACTCAGTTCTCAAGAATCAATTAGTACTGAGAGACTGACCTTTTTATTTCTCAGTTAGTTTTAAGTTTCTAAAAAGAGTTTTTCCATATTCTCCATCATTCAAAAGGGCTGTGAAGGTTACCACCTCAAAAGTTTATATAAGAATTTTTTTCTTAATCTCTCTATACTTTATATACCCTCTTTGCTGTCCAAGCAAATGTTCACTAGATTCCAAGCTAAGTTTCAAGAGATATTTAGACCATTTTTGTTGATAACAAATTTTCTGTAGAACCATCTTGACATTTTATTTTCTTCAGACAGTTGTATTGAATGAGCAATTGGCATAGATGCATAGCAGTTGCTGTTTTGTAATAGCTCACATTTCAAGCTTCTGTAGGAGCTGTCTACGAAAAGCTTCCTGTCCTCTGGTCGATATTTCGGCAAGTTCATTTTGATAAGTAGTTCAAAGATATTCTTGCAGTACATAAATTCATTATTTGCACTGAAGAAAGGAAGAAATCCCATAGCCTAAAAGTGTAGGCAGTGAGGGGACAGGAAGGGGTCTCCGAGCTGCCCAAACCTTAGTTTGGGTGGCCCCCTGTTGGGCTCTCGGCTTTATCATGGCAGTGGCTCGATATTCTGGGCAAAGACATGGGACTTAATCCAGGGGCATGTGCGTGGCGCATTGATTTGACTCCGGTACTAGCCTGGAAAGCTAGTAGCTCTTGAGTTGGCAGGGCGGCCTCGGCCCAGGCATTGAATGTGGAGTTTGCCAAGAGGGCAAACTGCATTCCGGCAAAATCAGGATACTAGCTCGGTGGTGTACTTGTGCATCGTCGGGGGGGGGGTAAGGGTAGAAGTGAATAGTTTAGGGACCAGGCCTGAGGACTTGTGCACCAGGTAGAACAAGATTGGTGTGGGAAGTAGCCAACACAGTATCGAGCAGGATCGAGCTCCACCTTAGGTGGATTTGGATTGGTCGACAATGAGAATTCCGAAGTATGCAATATGTTTTTGTTTAAAGAAGTCAGCAATTTTTTTCCTGTTAGTTTTAAGAGTATAATCACTACAAATGTGAATAAAACAAAATCCTAGCTATCATGATGCTTTAGAAAAAAGAAACGATTAAGCCTGTGCTAGGAAAACAAAGATATGTCCAGATTTCTTGGTACAACTGTCTGCAGAGACAGGAAATAAAGAAAAACTTATATCTAAAAAAACTAGTGCCAATTTGAAAGAAACAAGATAGTTTGATTCAGGATCGCCAAAACGTTTTTGTTAAAATATCACCAGCAATTTGGAAAGAAAATGTTCTCCAGTGATATTAATCAACTGTTTTTTTTAAATGCATCTCTTTAGAAATGAATACTTACTTTCCAAAGTTCAGAAGGGTCAACAAGAATGATTTGATAATTTCTGCCAGGTAATCGAGATGTTGGTTGTGAAGTAGTGCTTCCTTCAATAGTTGCTGTTATAATTTTGTTATATTTTTCCTTACAATTATGAAAATCCATAAAAAGATAGGAATTTTTGTTGTTGTGGGTAGTAGCAGAAGACCTTACATGAAAGTGAAGTATTCTTGCCTGAGAGGCAGACTATTATTGGACTGTTAGCTTTATCTTCATTTATCGTCACTCCTCTTCAAAGGATATATGTTTCATATTCTTCAATATTTCTTATGCATGTTTCAGAGTTGTGTGAATTAAACTTCTTTTGAACTGCATTTATTTGTAAAAGGAATAGGTGAAATTACACTATTATTTCACAATAATTTCTTGGTTGTATTTAGTTGTGATATTGTTTCAGTGATGTTGGTACTAAAGGCGTAAAGTGCGATGCCAAAATATGTAAAGAAATTCTTCAAGAAGTAGAAGAGTTGAAAACTGCAAGGCAACAAAAAGTTCACGATGATACAGTAATTAAGTATGTTCCTATGGATGATCCTATTATCACTATGTCCTGGATTGCACTTGGAAAAAGTCTTCTCAATCAACATAAAGTGTTGGAGCAGGTGAGTTTATATGTGCAATGCCATACGAATGGTTAATGGAAAAGAAAGGGGTCATAATATTGTCCAATCAGTTATAATTGAACTAATTTATTAATCTATTACTCGCATAACGAACAATTGAGAACAAATTACACTACAATACTACAAATACTACAAACTATAATAATACCACAAACTAAATTGAAATTCGTGTATTCCTGTGGTAGAATACCACCTATCTCATTTGTGTGTAATAATACTATCAGTCAGTCAGATACATTATTCACTAATTTATAGACAAATTTCAGGTTTTATGTACCTATCATCAGTCAAGTAGGCTTCAGTTCCTCCATAGATAAATGTTTAAAAAAATTTATAGTCATGCTTTTTAAAAACTACTTTATCTTAAACATGATTTCCTGTGAAGGGTGTAGTGCTCTGAAACATCATCAGTGAAATGTTCTTCCATGCAAGCACTTGTTGGGCCCTCCTGGTCACTGCCACTGGTGCCCTTTCACCCCTCAGCTGTGACACTCTTTGTAGTTTTCATGACACCTCAAGCAGTCAGGATTCTGTGAGCAGCAGATCAACATCATGTATTCTTATACCCATAATCTTTCGAGGTATGATGATTAGCGAATAGGTTGTTATACCCAAGTTTGCAGGTTCAAACCCGATTGAAGCCGTTGCCCCATGTAGTAGATTCACTGTATGTAAAAGATCCTCTAGCTTTAATGAAGCCTCTGAGCTAAATTTAAATTGCTGGTTTTATCGCCTGAGTAATACTTTCTTTCTCTGCTAGATGGTGAAAGGAGTGTAGTGAAATTCACGTGTAAGATATAAGAATAGGAGTAATGGCCTGAGCCTCATCACGTAAAATACGGCATCATTAAATTTTTGAGCTTATTGTAGGGGATTTTGCAAGGGATTGCAGGGGATTGCAGGTTCTGTGATTGTCATCTTCATTTACACAGGCTTTGCAATCTGCAACAACTTCTCATCAGTGTATTTGTACTAACTGGTGGCTTACTTTTTAAGAACCAGTTACCTATAAAACACACTACATAAAGTAGTAATACTGCTTGTACTGGTGTAACACTACACTTGGTGCCATGAGGTGTATCAAATGAAATGGTGTCTGCTGCCTTGACAGATGGAATTTGATAGAAGATATTAAGATATTCTAAGATATATTTAAAATACATTAATTGATATATTTATTATATATAAAATTATTTATAATATATAAAAATATTAGTTGCACTTTTGTGAGTCTGAATACTTTTGGTGAAACGTTTTTTTATACACTGCTCAAAACATAATAGTAGCCACATTTATTTACATAAGTTTATTTACTTCATTTGTGAATAAAGTGAAACATGAAGCAATAATGAATATATCTACCTTTTATTTATTTCTTTTGATAAAAGGAAGATTTATAGGTTTTTATATATTTTTAGTATTTTTGTTTTAATTTTTTACTTATGGGTAGCCCCAAATTGACTCATTTTTGCTTACTATACTGTTACTACTTTTACCTACTACTGTTTTTTATTTTTGTAGAGATTAGTGGCACCTCTGAAACTTCTCCATGATCCTGAAGATACACCTTTGGTTAAAAAAGAAGTGCAAAAAGAAATTGAAGCAATTGATAATCATTGCAATGAGAAAGTTGTTGTTCCCGAAGCTATACCACATTCTGGCACAGAGAGTGAAAATCAAGCAGAAGAAGTTGCAGATTTTACTTGTATGTTTTTGTTTGTATTGTCTTTTTACTTAGTAATTTTTGCTCAGATACATTCAGGAGTTACTCAGTAAACAAAATAGATGAAGCTTCTTAAATCTGTGGTTGTATTATTTATAAGTAATACAATATTACAGATTCCGTATTTTTCCAAACAAATTAATCATTGAAAACAGAACATCTTAAACTCTTATTTGGCATATTCATTTGCCCCAAGAACTTTGTACCTGTAAAATTTCAGGGACCTAGTCATAAAATTTGAGTTATTTTATTTAATTAATTGGCAATTGAAGCGTTGCGTTGGCAGATGAAACGTTTTGTCATCACAAATGATTAACTTAAAACTTTTAATATCAAATCATTGTTTTGTTTTATTTACTTTGTGATTTAGCTTATATGCGATAATGAAAGATGTACTGTTTTTTAATAAAATGTTCTAAAACAATACCTTCTTCTGTTTAGCTGGGCAAGAAAACGATGATGGTAAGGGTCGGAAACGAAGACGGAATTCTCTATTGTATGTCGCCCAATGGATGTGGGGTGAGAAAAGACGGTCAGCTCGAGTTCGTTCTACTGTTCGACGTGAAGCAGAACGAGAAGAGTGCAATCTAGGAGAAACTTTGCAAAGAATTTTGCCCCACACTCTCCTGTGAGTAGTTGTTGAAATAATGTTTATTATTGAAAGTGCATGAAAAAAAAATCTTAATTTGATATATATGAATTGTATTTTTCTTTCTGTCCTATGTAGTCCATCAACTGAAAAAATTAAAGATATGGATATTATGAAATCAAATGATGATTCAATGGATACAATGGATTTATATAAGCTATTTGAAAATCGTGAAAATGCAGAAAGCCGTGATGAAAAGAACCCTCAGCAGAAGGTAGAGAATGAGCCTTCCTTAAATGAAGAAGGATATTTTGGAACTCCAAGTGAAGAATTAGATGTGAAAAATTTTTTAAATATGCATAATTATCAAGATATCATTGAAATAATGAGTTTTTTCTTACAAGAACTGTATGAAAGATGGCAGCTCACTTGGCCACAAGAACTCATTTTCTTGTATTTGGAAATTTATAAACTACTAAGGTAAAATTATTCGATAATTTGGCAAAAACAATTAAACAACTAAATTCTTAATTTCTCCAATTACCCATCTCAATTGCCTCATATCCCTTCCAAACAATAACCAAGACCACCTCTTTGGGTTATTCCGCCCATAGCACCTGCATCACATCGATTATTGTTATTACCAATATAATATTAATTACATCATATTGTTATTACCAATATGATGTATGTTCCAAAAATGAAAGATTCTGGAAGTAAAATACTCCTCCAATGAGGTGTCTGGGTGGGAAGAATTTATTTACTTAAAGTCAAAAACGGTTCAAAAGTATGTGTGACATATCATTGGGTTAAGTATAATCTGTGCACGTTTTCATCAATTTAGGGATCGCTACTATCACGCATTTACAAGTTGAATTGAGAATACTTATGGAAAGAGCATTTTTGGCTAAATTGATAAGAAAGTAAAACTCGTGTAATAAGAACTATTTACAAAGGTAAATCAGCTGTAGATTCGGGCTGTTATTCCTCATTATGCCCTTTGTGGAGGAATCAAGTTACTGCTGTGAGAACAGTGAATGATAATTTGAATAACTGTGTTTCCCACTGAACTCTAGAAAATGTGCACGGATAGTGAAGTTACATTTATGTCCCAAAACAAAACAATGAGTCATCTCAGCATTTACTCAAAGGATCAGGGGAAAATGGATGAAAAACCTGATTGCAGTGGGATCATTGATCTAGAAGTTGAGGTACAATACTTGTTACTGGTTGTTTAGAATTATACACTCCAAATGATAATTAATTCATTAAATATTATTGTTAAAATTAATATCATTTTCCTTTTTGATGCTCAGTATAGTCTCTTAAGTGTGTAGAAATAGTTATCCGGCAGAAAGATTTTACTTAGCACTTAAACTTGTATAATAATTTTCATTGTTTAATGTCATCTGTCAATATGTTATAAAATAATTTACCTGTTTTGTATGTGAATGACTAGAATATGTTGAAGTTTCCAATTTGGGCAAAAAAGAGAGGAAAGGAGGAAATTATTATGAAATTATTATTATTAGCGTGCTGGAATTTAAGTTCTTGGAACAGTAGAGGCCAGGAAATTATAAAAATACTGAAGATAAGACGATTGATGCAATTGTCCTAGCAGAAATGGGAATGAAAATGGCATCATACCGTATAACCACCGTGAGATAAAACTTGTCTGAACATGAAGTGTCAGTGTCCGTCAAGGAAGACATTATTGACATTATTGAAAAAGAAAAAAAAAAAAAAAAAAAAAAGAAAAAGGAAAAAAAAAATCTGGGAACATCTCTGACACACCTATTTATATGAAATTACTTAGAAAATGAGTGTGCGTTAAACATGACACAGTGACAGTGACAGTGACAGTGACAATCAGTACTTGTCAATAAGTATTGGTACTTGTATATTGTCATATTCTTTTTAGTAATTTCCCATATAATTCCATGCAAGTGTGTCATTCTGAAGTAGTTATGTACATTTTTTTGTGATTTGCAATTCTCCAAACTTACATTTTCTTATGGGAAAATTAAACTTTTATGTCCAACTTCTGTAGCTCGTATGATAGCTCAGGGTCAAAAGTAACAAACATTAGTGCACCAATGCCTCATAAGAAATGGTTCTTCAAATTTATTTTTGGGTTGAAACTTGAAGCATAATTGTCTCTAGCATCTTTCAAATTTATTCATCTTTCTGTGGGTAGAGAAAGAGAGAATCCAGCCTTTCAATGGGAAGAGAAAATTTCATTGTTGTGACCAGTGACAAAGATAGGGATGTGTCAGACATGTGGTTGAGTTTGAGCATCATAATGTTGTGTAGTTTGCCTGAGTCAATTACATATGTTCATCATTCATCACATCCACAGTATAATGATGTCCCAGAGAAAAGATTTTAGTGTATTGTACAGTGCGCCAGGAATGTCTCTCCGCACAGCCTGAATCAGGGCCTCCAATTAAAAATTGCATTTATGTTGGGTGCATCCAATCACTGGGACACAAGTGAAGGGGACAACACTTCCAGTATCTATTATGATTGTGTTGAGTACACAATTGATGTTTTTCAAGCTCCAGCTCAAGCTGCCAACATTATTTGTGTTGTAAGTACTCCCACCAGCAAGGTGACACTGCAGAGAGACTTTTCTGGTGCGTTATATTTTAATAGATCAGTCTAATATTTTGGCTGAAATTGAAGAAATTAGCTCTATGTAACTATAATTTTTCTTACATGTTTTCTGCCAGAGTTAAGAAATCCTTGAATAATGTAAGATTATCTCTGCATGGTATCATTGTGAAAAACTCCAATTTTCCATGCATTTTACTTTCAGACAGCATGTTCCATTTCCACAAGTCTTATATTCCTCAGAAACTGTTGAATGGCTGCAAAAAGATGGATGGATGACATTGTTATATGAGGAATTAGCTTTAGATTGCTGGCTGAATGAAAGGCTTAGTGAAAAGAAAACTGAGAGGTAAGAGAGAGAGAGAGATTTTAATAGATTTACTATAGTGATAGTCATACATTACTTTGAAACTTGTATTTTTTATGTGTATTGAAAAGGTCTGTGGAACGAAGACCTGTCCCTATTCAAGAAATAGGTCATCTTGAGTTGTTATTAACAAGATTTTCCTCTGACCATTTATTACATACAAGATTATATTGGTTGAAAGCTCATGCTTACCTGAATCATGGTGATATTGAAACTGCTACAGGTTGTTTAGATCCAGTAAGTTATTTTTATATCTTTACTTTGTGGCTTAAAACACTTTTCAAGTGTGAAAAATGTATGAATATGAATATAGAAAAGAGCTATCAGTTATATGTTTAACCCTTGTAACAAATTTACTGATTTCTTTCTTCTTATAATATTCTTTGTATCAACTTATTTTCATAATTTTCAGTTATTACGTTACTTGGAAAATCTGAATGAGAAGGATACTGGAAGTAAAGTTGTTTTAAAAAATTGTTCTCATAATAATTTGATTTCTAAAGAGAGTGTTCAACAACTACTTACAGCTTTATTCAGGTATGATTTTCAATTTTTCTGTTCTCCATTCAAATGAAAAGGCATCTGGGTAGTTATGTAAATTGACTTGACGTGAACATGAACTATGCAATTGAAATTGTCTTTGCTAAGAATAATGGGCAGAATTAGTATTTATGTTCTTAATGTTTAATTACTTATGTTGGCACACAGAGTGTGCCAATTGCATTCTTTTCCTTGCTGATGATAATACTTGCATTATTTTTGCATTATCAATCCTGCTTATTTATCACCTGAGTTTCTTAAATTTGAATTGATTCAACTGCTCTGTTGCAAGTGGTGAGAGTACGTTAGCGGAATTCTTTTCAAAGTGTTTTCAGCACACTGTGTGCCACACAAGTAACAACGTAAATATATATGAGAATGCTTTCTTCTCGATGCATTTGGTGAAGGCAAGAAATATGGATGAAATATATTGTGTAAAATATTATCGTAGCTTTGTAATCATTCTTTCATATTTACATTACGTAACACTGAAATATCATTTAAACTTTTTGTGTGTACTATGAACATTGGTTAAGAATTGCACATTCTGCTTAATAAAAAAAAATGTTATATAGAAAATTTATAACCATGTATTTTTTTTTTTTTGTGATTTCTAAGAGGCTTTGCCCAAATAAACAATATTTTTAGTTTACATGAAACTACAAGGTAATAACATATTAATAATTATGTTCTGTTTTCTATATAATCTTTATTTATTTCATATACTTCATTATGTTGCAATATTAAGTCAATGTATTAATAGACAGATATCATTTATAAAACACATTTTCATTAAAAAAAATGATTATTTTGGTTATTGGTATTATTAGTAGGCATGAAAAGGTATCTAGTAGTAGTAGTTGTGGTAGTGGTTGTGGTTGTGGTTGATGCAGTAGCACCAGCAGCAGGATTAATTGAATCGTTTATTTCAGAAATCTGTCAAACGGCAAAATCTAAAACACGCATTAGCGATGGATTATTGTTCCAAGAGGATAGACGCATTATTTAGCGCATATTTATATGAAAAATATTCATATATCAACTGCATTAAAATAAATAAAAATATTTTGAAATCTGAAAAATTGTGAGACTTTTTCTCAGTTTTCTTGAAATGAGGAATTTGGCATTTGACGGGTTTCTGAAATAAACGATTCAATTGATGTATTGATCATGGTTAGTGTACTACATTGGTTAATTAGAGAGACATACTTAATGACATCTTAAATTTAAAATGGACCATATAACTGAACATTAAATACTGTTTTTGCAATGCGTTATCAAATTTCTTCAAAAATGTCACCAATTTGTTGCAATTATTGGTTTTGTTATGGAATAAACAATATTTCTTTTGCAATGTGAGAGTAATTAAATGTCAGAAAAGAACATGAGTAGAGAAAGCTTAATAAATTTTTTTTTTTACCTTTGCAGAGATCATTTATATTATTAATTTTAGCTGGATTGTTTGCTTTCTGTTGAATTCATTAGTCATACATTTTTCTAAAATCTTATAGTTCATTTTTTCCAGAATTTTCGATATAGAAGTGATTTTACAGTAAACCCTCATTAGCATTAGCATAGCTTAGTACTTACATAACATTAATATTACTGTAACACGAACAAAGTTGGGTTGCTGGCAAGGAATCATAGCAATTTGGATATACTACTTTGGATGTACCTACAATAATCAGATAACAAATTTTTATAACACGAAAACAAATGATTTAGTTCCTAGCAATTCCTGTTAATGAGGATGTACTGAATTCATTTGTAAATATGTTTGTTTTGATTGGAAAAAATATACATTATAAGGAGTGTCTTTTTTTAGAATAAAAACGTGCAAGGAGACATCCTTTAATTACATAATTCTTGAAATGGGAAAGGTATTTTAGCTGCTTCATTCAATGTTGCAGGAGAGTATTGTGTCTAGAGTTTTAAAATATTTATTAAATTAAATTCGTTTGTTAAACGTTTTAAAGTACATTTACAAAAACAAACTCATCAATAATTATTAAATTTAATTTTAGTATTTATTTAAACATTTTTACTATTGTATACATTCTCCGTAAAAAGAAAGAATCAAAATGCTGCAGAAAATGCACTGATTATTCAAAAGAAAAACATGTTTTGTTGGTCCCTGATATGATGAAGTGGATTTTTCTTGTTCCTATACATTGTGTTATATGTAGTGAGAATGCATTGTTTTGTGGGTCCTTGAAAAAATTGTTTTTTTCAATACTGTAAGTAAGGCTATCCATGTGTCGGTGAACAACAATTGCACTGAAAGTGTATACAGAATTTTCTCCAAAATGGACATTCAATGTAGATGATGCCGTAGTACCTCATATTGGAAATGGATCTTTTAATTTTTGGTGGTACTTTACACGAAATATGTTTTCAAAATGTTCTCAAAAATGTCTCCAATTTCTTCTTTAACTTTTTGCTTGAATAGTGAGAAGTATGCTTATAAAATGTTGCAAATTTGATTTTCTTTTAACTCTTCAAAGTTTTGAAAATTACAAAAAGTTATGAGAGTTGTGGTAAAAAAAAAAAAGTTAAACAAAATTTTCTCAAAATAGATCTATTCTTAAATTTCAATGATCACCAACTGATAACTCTCAACACAAAATTATCACAAGTACAGTAATACATACAGATAACTTTTTTAATTAGAATCTTCAGACGTTCAGAGTATGAATTTAATAATCTTACATATTATAATAAAAGTGTATTTAATTTGAAATACTAAAATTATCAATATTACAAAATTCTGAAATTTAGAATCTGTATATATCATATATACCATCATATTATGATACCATATTTCATCATCATCATCATCATCATCATCTAGTTGCAACTGTACTAAGCATGTCGCTGTTCCTCCTTGATCAGTAGAGGCCTCAGGAATTAGTGATATATCCATTTTTTCTTTTGCCTTCCTATGTCTTTATGCTAAGGGTTCATTGTTTGTTGTAGGAATCAGAACCTTTCAGAGGTGCAATATTTGTATGATGAAAAACGTTATGAAGAACTTATTGAAGTTCTAAAAGAAACCTTCAGTTATTGCCAACAACCAGGTCTAGTAGCCAATTACAACAATTCTGGTAGTGATTGCCCTGATCGAGCTACCCAACTGGCAATGTTAATGGATGCGCACTGGCAGTTGAAGCGTTATCAGGTAGGTGTTTTATTTTTGTAAGTGAATTGAAATTTCTTCTCTCAGTAGTATTGCAGTTTATGAAATACCTCAGTAGCATTGCATTTTATTAGTAAGTTGTTTTATTTTGTTTGTACACTGAATTTTTTTTTTCTCAGTAGCAGTGCATTTTATGAAATTTAACAGAATTGACGAAATGGACTTAAAAGTGATAATTATTTGTAAAGTATTTCACTTTTCCAATTTTTGAATTATCACATTGAAATGTCTATGAAATGCCTTTGGTAAATGTAAAGTAATTTATGATTATATGTATTATCGGAATTATACAGTTATGAGAAATAACTGATGATAACTTTGAATATCTTAAGAAAATTCAAGTTAAGCACATCATATTTCTCTTATTTGTTTGTAACTAACTATTAAGTCACAGAAAATCAACCTACAAAAAATGCCAAGAAGATAAACATGCTGTTGCTGACAATGAAATCTGCACTCGTTTTGAAATACTTAAATCTGAACATACTATCCTTTTGGAGAAGACTACAGCTTCAAACTGCATCACCTGCAAGAACTATAAACCTTACTTGTGTAGCAGTAGATGAAATTGAAGAACGAGCTAGGAGATTGAAAAATCTAATTATTTATGGCATCCCTGAGAGGGTAACAATGCTGAAATGATAAACAATTACAACACAATTTTGATAAGACCGCTACATTACAAACCTCCATCACAGATCCATCCATAGTCTCTCTGTTGAAAACACAACTGGAAAAAATGCATCTTATTAGACTTGGCAAACAAGATGCAAATAAGGATAGACCAGTCAGAATCAACTTCAGCACTTAAGATCTTCCACTTGCAATTCTTTGAGATGACAAAAATCTGCCTACAGATATTTCTCTGAAAAGCGACCAAACCCTGTTGCAACTTGCAGCTCTTATCCAACTTAGAAAAAATCGAGACAAAGCACAAAAAATTCACAGAGAAGCAAAAATCAATTACGTCAGAGGCACTCTTCAAATCATCTCAGGGAAGCGAAGTAAATCTCTTTAGAGGAACACCTAAAGGCAGCAGGAAACACCCTCAAATTAATGTACACCAATATTGCCAGCCTCGTGTCTAAATTTGACTAATTTCAGGTTGAAATAAACACCCACTAACCACATGTTATGATATTGACTGAGACCTGGCTTAACCCAAACATTCCAAACTGAATAATAGCACTTGATGGTTATACAATATTGTGTAGAGATTGAACAGAAGATGTGGTGGTTTTGCTATATATGTGAAGGAGGCCAATGATATTCCAATCATAGTTACCCGAAACGACCACATGATCTATCCCACCTCTGAAACATTGTGGGTTGAAATCTGATACGGTAAAATTCGCATGGAGCTGGGAGCAGTGTATCGACCGCCTTCAAATACTTTCACTAACTCTGTTAATGCTATTCGTGAAGAGCTTAGGACAATCACTGAAAGAATCAACACAGTTTTTATCTTATGAGACTTCAGTTTACCTACGCTATTATGGCCACACCCAACAACTGTGTGTCCCCTGCAGCTCGCGAATTTCTTGAGAATTTTACACCCACATTTTTTACACATCCTATAAAGCAACCTACTAGACGTAGAAACGGACAAACTCCGTCAATCTTAGATCAGATTTTCACGAACGACACAGATGCTTTCACCACACCAGGATCACATGCTCTAATTGGTAACAGCAATCATTTCATACGAGCATACCATTTCATATTTCTACGTACTTACTATTGAGCTACAAATGGGCCACTGTAACAATATTAAATTGTCTATTTCCACTCCAAGGAAAAACTACTTAAGAGCAAATAACACAAAAATAAGCCTTGGACAAGTCCTGCTTTATGATGATGGTTTAAACCTGAATGAAGCCTGGCTTGTCTTCAAAAACACCACAATGGATATCCTCAACCGCCATTCCCCAGCACAGACGAAACCGTAAAATCAAAGCCATGGATTAAACAATCAACTCTGTGTAAAATAAAACATGAGAACATTATCGGGAATTTATATCTTAGGACTGATTCGCCATTTTCCCATAAAAATACACATTTTTTCGAAGTGAGGTCAATGATATTCTACGAAGAGACAGGAAACTATGAACATAACATTTGTCAGGACAGAAACAGTCATATGCTTACATCTGTCATCAGACATTCTCCTCTATTAAATACCCGCAAGCTCTTCGTATTAGCACCCAGGCCGTTATCGTGAACAATAAACAATATTGACCCGTTACCAGAAGGAATGTTCCTGGTCACCACCACCTCTGGCCTGATAATTTGATACCATCTTCGGTGCGATTCACCAGTTGCCTACGTGAGCATACAAGCGAGTATGCCACACCTCCCGTCTCTACGTAGCACGCCGGCTTCGGTTCCCTGCCTCAGTAGCCTATGCATTGAAATGCAGCGCCGCGCACAACCCACACGACTTCCTATCGACGCGCCCAAGAATCAGGAGTTTAGGTCCGGGGTCCGTTTATATTACCTTCTGGGCCGGCTGACGGAACTGCGTCATCTCGCTGTTTCCGCTGACGCGTTTCCACAGCCAGCATGTCTACGGGGTTCAAGTTTGTCCCAAGTGGTCAAGGGGGTCACATGTGGCCACCCACGACACGGCACCCCTTCCCTTCCGCTCCCTAGGTTTGCCATTGTTCAGCCCGGAGTCCCTTCCCGCCAGCGTTGTCGTAACTATTTCCTCGTGCATTTCATGAGCATGAAATGTACGTGCCTAATATTTTGTCACGTTTGTACAAGGCGACTGATATGACGGACACCACGAAACTGGCAGCCCCTCGTACATCATTTTTTTTTATCGCTGGGAACAGGAATTTTACCTGCAGATTGAAAAACAGCTGCAGTCACTGATCTTCAATAAGGGCAACGAACTGGATCCTAGCAATTATAGACCAATACTTTTGACAAGCCGTTTTTGTAACGTCATGGAGCGCCTTATTGTAAATAAACTTATTGATTTTGCCCAGCTCAAAGAACAAAATGGGTTTGTCTCAAACAGATCCACAGCCACCAATGTGCCCTCTTATACACAAATCATCTACCTGGACATTGCAAAAGCGTTTGATACGGTTCCCCACCACCGTCTGTTTCACAAAATTTTCCATTTCGGTGTCTGTGATTAGCTCCTTACGTGGTTGAAATCCTTTCTGACTGAAAGGACTTCCTGAATCCGGATTGGATCTTTATGTATTATCTGTTCGTCCCATAACCAGCGGAGTCCCTCATGGATCGGTCCTCGGACCAATATTGTTTATTCTTTACACTAGTGATATCAGACGCAATGCGAATTACACTTTCTCCGCGTATGCCAATGATACCAAAATCTAAACCAATCCACGTGAAAACTCCCATAACAAATCGACATCGAGAATGTCTTCAAATGGACCGAGAAATGGTGGATCTCACGTAATGAGCCCAGATGTACAATAGTACACATAGGTAAAAATAATCCACGCCACCAGTACAACATTAATAGCCATATCATTAATCATCGTAGATCAAACATCTGACGATTATCATAAAGGATAATTATTAGAGAAATGGAAGGCGAACACAAACTAGCACTTTACTTCTATGTCAAGTCACAAGACTGCAGTTGCAAGCAGTTCCATATAAAGCTTTGTATGTAACTGCAGAGAATAAAGAGAAATTTCGCAGGGCATGGAGTCGTGACGTTATAAACTGTGTGAATTATTTAGTAAAAAATTGGGTGAGGAACACGAAGAGGAAACTGCATCGCATCATATGGAACATTTACCCCTCCCATTGCCTTTTACAGAAGGAAAACGAGATGTTTTGACCTCCAGGTGAAAGTGACTTCTCACCGTACCCTTAACTGTTGTAAAAAAGTGGTAAGCCGTGGGGATTTTGCAATAGAAACTGAGGAGGAATTTCTCTCCTTAAAAAGGCAAGGTGTCATTGAGATGTACAGAATAGTGAGGAAGGAGCATGTGAGAGAGATCCCCCTCTCCTACCCGGATTCTAAAGTTCAATCCCTCTTCCCTCGCAGAAAGGATCTATTGTGTGCGATCGTATACGCCTAACGTTTTTCGCTTTTTCAAATGGCAATTATTCGGTTTTATGCAGTGAAGGTGCATAACGGAAAGCCCGTTATGCGAGAAGTGCGGCAAATCAATGCACAAAGCTGACACCTGCGCTACACCATCGCACTGTGTGAACTGCCAAGGAGACCATGCGACCATCACCATAAGGTACCTTTCTGAAGGAGAGAGATTCAGAATATTCGAGTCACAAGGTGTCCTTTACCGTGGCCAGTCAATATCTGACGAAAAACCCTGTCAATTTCTCTGGAACTTTCTCCAGTGCCGTGACCAAGACGATTAAAACAACTGTGAGCTGCCAGCAGTCGCCTGCTGCGCCTCCAGTGGCGCACTTTTGTTGCCTCATATGGGCTACCGAGAGGAGACATCGCTCCTGCAAGGCGGGAAAATAATAATTCCCCTCAAGATATAGACAAAGAAAGTTTCTCAGAAAAGAAAGTCTATCCAAGCTTCTCTTCCATTCAGCGCCGCACGAAGGCCGAGGATAAAACTACAAGATGCAAACCGGAAAGGTTGCCCAAAGCTTCAATTAGTGTGTACTGAGGTCCTAGACTCAGAGTCCCGACGGTGGCAGGACTTCCGACACTAGCTACGTAGCTAGATCGATTTCATGCGCTGCCTGGGGGATTCTTCGATCAACTCCTGACGAATTCCGGAGCAGTACCCTAAAAAATGGGCCATGGACCGCGCACGATCTCACCTTCGGCTTCCTTGTCCTATCCTCACACCTTGCGTACATCCACATTCACTACACCACCATATTTATTGGGAGCTTTTAAGCTTGTTCCGTCTGTGGCAGTGCCATGCTGATGGGAGATACCCAGTCAGGGGAAAAATCCCCGCAGGCCGACATAGATCTCCCCATCCAGCCAGAGAAGATCACAGCCACCTCCCGCTTTAAAAACCATGCACTTCACAACGAGACAATTGTTCTTGTCAGTTGATGCGCCCAAAATCGCTAAGTAATAAATATAAAAAAAATATAGGATGCAAGGATGGGGGTGTTGGTTTTGTCCGTTCTGGCTTTGCCTAATCTTCGCCAACATTGCTCGCTACAAATTTGACTCATTTGTGTCAAGTAAGAAATACACGGGAATCGATCTCTTTAAACAATGAAAATATACAAATGCAGTATATAAATGAAGGAACCGTGGCCGTATAAAGCGAGGACATCAGCGGTTTTAAATCATGGGCACACCCACATTTGCCCCGCGTGATTACGCCGCGCCCATGCATCATCTCATTGACCCTGGCAGCAGTCTGTCTTTCAGTCTCTGTAAGAAGGTGCAAGGTTAGAACGCGCTACTACAAGTGGGGCCACTAGTTTATACAGAAAAGTATAGGTCTTGTCCCCCACTTCAGTGTCTCGTGGTGAAGTGGGTCAAACCAGAGAACTATCGACAGACAGACGACGGTAACGACGAACCGACGTCGAAAAATAATTATGTTTTAGGGATCTGAAAACATTATTTCCGTTAAATTCTTGACATTGATAGAGGTTTTATTTGACTTTGTTTATAAAAGGAACAACTCTTTATGTTAAGACGTATTATGATATGATAAAAATCAAAACAGCTAGTAAAACCAACTTTAATGAATAATTTCGTAGCAGAGAAGATCCTCTTGTGTTCCTGTCTCCATTTTTCATCTTGCTTCTCATTTCACGTCTCCTGTAGTCTTTTCACTTTTTTCTTCCTCACTGACCTCAGTATGTTGTATGCCCACCCATGTGTATACCATGCATGACGACCCGTGTCGAAGGGAATGGGTAATCTGGGAGTTCAGGAATGTGTTCATGCTTTTTCGACTGCCTCCTTATCACCTAATGTTTGTAGGTAGACCTGATTTAGCCACGTTCATTACGATCACCGGTGAGCACTGGCGACTGAGAGGAGGTCTCTGCACCGTGTTGGTCCCGACATACTTTCTTTGACGTCTGACTCTTCTACACGGGCTTTCGGGAGCAAACTTACTCCCGAACAACGGGGTCGGGACTAGGTCCTGTACTAAACTCCACGGTGAACGGTGGTATCCACGGCAGGGCAGTACTGTAACCCCCCCCCCCACTATATCTCCGTGTCAGCCCTGGCACCCCAGCGGGGAGTCGCGTGCTGGACTCCATTGTGTGGGGGAGCACGAAGATGTATATAGTGTCCATCGTATGGATCTTCCGCAAGGGATGTCCGGAACGTAATATCAATTTCAATAGCTTATTTGTGAAGGACAAAGACACCAAAGAAGCATCATTTTCTCCCCATGGCATGCGTCGAGGATGGAAAATCTTTCAAAAACGTTACTTTTTAGTTTGGCGTGCGTTATTGAGGAAACGTATATGGGGAACTATTAGTCGTGGTGCCATTCTCTTCGAAGCACGCTCGGGTGACCTAATTGAAAAGATTCGGAAAAAGCAAGTTGCCGGCTTCCAGGTGGAAGTGACCACACTCTCAACACTTAACCTCTGTAAGGAAGTGGTCAACCACGATTACTTTGCTGCTGAGAGTGAGGAAGAATTAATCGCGTTTGTTTAATAGCCAGGGTGTGATGGTCGTTTACAGGATGAAGAGGAAGGAGCACGGGCGAGAAATCCCCCCTTCTACTTTGATTTTGACATTCGATCTTTCATCTTCCTGAAAGAATCCTGCAGTTTTAACAACCACCGTGTACTGCAATATGTGCCTAACCCTTTGCTGTGCTTTAATTGCCAAAACTTTGGCGATACACAGCAAATATGCATGGCTGAAAGCCCGGTGTGCAGAAAATCGGTATACAAAACAAAACTCTGAGCTACACCACCGCATTGTGATAACTGCTAAGGTGACCATGTGGCCAACTCCAATCAGTGCCTAACCTTGCTGAAGGGTAGAGATAGCCAGAATATCAAGTCGCTGAGAAGGTGTCTTACCCTCAGGCCAAACGTAGATACAAGGCAAGGAACTGTTAAACTTTCTCGGTCTTTTTCTAGCGCTGTGAAAGCGAAGGCCCCGAAGGTAGTAACGAGCTTCCAAACTGAGTGAGATCCCCCAATTCTTAAACTACGCGTGTCTGGTGTCCAAATGGACCTCCATATGCAAACCGCACATCTGCAAAGCGGGAGAGTGATCATACCAACCAAATTTAAGAGACGTGCTAAAAATGCTTAGCTATCGCAGTCTACCAAATCTTCTACAACCAAAAGTCTCTCGATGGAAGTTAATGCCCGTCAAGTATCCGCCTCAAATCCGACTGCTAAGTGCTCGTCATCACAGCCCCGACAATTCACACCTTCGGATACTCACCATGAGCGAGCATCTAGCTCCCTGACTGTTCCCAGGAGGATTCTGCCTCAGAAAAAACTCACCAACGTGAGGAAACTCGTCCATTCGGGATACAATGCCGTAAGAAAAAAGGAATAACCGAATTCCATCATCGCTATGGCTGGTTCCTTCTCGCGCGAGGTTGATCTGAAACTGTTGTTTCGTTATATGCCTTCAATATTGTTTACAGGAGACACATCTTGTTCCACCACGCCTCTTATCCTTTGGCGATTTTACCTCATGTAAGATTGATGTTAATGACAGCCTCTGCGCACATTGCGAAGTTGCTACTTTGATCCACGACTCGCTTCTCTGTACAAACGGTCCAGTTCAGACCGAGCTCCAAACTGTGTGTGGAGGTGAACTTCCCATCCTTCACGCTCACTGTATCACATCTACATCCCTCCAGGACATAGTGTATCCGCCGATGAACTTTTAGGCTTGATAAACCAACTGCCCTCACCGATCTTGATAGTTGGGGCTGCAAATGCTCACAGTCCTCTTTGGGGTTCATCCCGCGCTTGGCGAGAGGCGACATATTGGATTCTGTTATAGGCACCTGGAACTTGGTAATTCTGTACTCCGGTGAACCAACTCATTTCGCCGTCGCTACAAACTCAAGTACGTGCATCAATCTTGCTCTTTGTTGCCTATCACTTGCAACCGTTGTGCAGTGGTGTACTCTAGACGACCTGTATGGAAACAAACAGCGTGCCGTACGTGGGCTACAACTGGCTGCGGCGACGCGCGATTGCGTGCTTCAGTTTTAAGCTTGATGTTACTCGGTATTCCGGGAGATTCAGAGCATTGAGTTCTACGTAGGCGACAGGAAGCACGCGGCTGCCACAGCCCCACAGCCTGGAGATATCCGCCCCTCCGCCCGGAAAACTGATAAGTTTCATTAGCCCCTTGCGCCATTCCGCTACCGAAAGGTACCGGATTCCAACAGTTCTAGAGGCTTGAAAGGGTGTTAGGACGGAATTACGATACTTAAGTCAGAGGACAATGAGGAATCAAATGAGATCAGAAGACAATGTAAAGAGAAATTACTATTGAATATGTATGAAGCAAATAATTAAAAATAATTGATTTTTATAGACAAATGAAGATATTGAAAAATTCAGTTCGTGCTGTTTCTCTATATTAACAAATTTAATCATTGCGGAGAAATTCTATTTAATTTTAACATCATTGGTTGTAGTGAACCTCTAATATGAAGAATCACAAATGTTGGTCCCTACATATAGTTATCCCCACATATCATTATAGCCGGAGTCGACTGTACTTGGCGAGAAAGTATCAAGCTGTTAAACTTGGGAAATAGTTAAAAATTGCTTTCTCATATTAATAAACTACAAAAAAATGTTTAAAAATTTATTGGGATGCCCAATTGTACATTATTATTATCTGGAGGCTCCTCTGAGATACGGCCTAAGCAGTTGCCTAGTTTGTTTAGGCGGAAATTCATCCCTGTGTTTGTGCAGTTATAACACCAGTAGTATAGTAAATTTTGGACCATATTACAAATCACTACTACTGCTACTGCTACCGCTACCGCTACCGCTACCGCTACCGCGACCGCCACCGCCACCGCGACCGCCACCGCCA